ACTAGAGAAAGGAGTTAAAAGGATAGAAACTGCTTATCTTTTAACTGGTTTGAGCCAGGGAGAACTTGCTCAGTGGAAAATGGGGAGTTAAGGGGAACCGCTCTTGGGGAAGAAGGTGATGTTGGGTTAATCAAAATTTACCTTGAGGAATGGATGGGACATCCTATTGGAGATAATGTACAAGTAGCTGGAAAGAGGACACAACGTGGAGAGCTGGAGGATCCAAAATGTCTGCCCTGAAGGAACAGCACAGTTCTCTGAAGGAGACTGCCATGGGACAATGGAGAGAGAGAAAACTGGGAAGGGGAGAATCTTGGAGTAGAAATGGAAGAGGATCCATGAGGAGAGTCTATGGGACCTACTGAGTTTGATGCACAAGAAGCCCAAAGAGGAGAACTCTAAGGAACTAAGGGTCAGTATCATCTGATGTGAGGTGAGGAGGGAGAGATGCCATTGTAACTTGGGGAAGGGTAAGTCTTTGAGCAGAAGGTGGAGAAAAATTAGACACAAAGGTTTAGATGAGTCATAAGGAAATGACTACTCTAAAATTTCAAATTGAAGGCAAGGTGGAGGGAGAGGATGATAGGGAGGGGAAATTGAGCAAGTGATGGAGTTTTTAGTCTGGGCTTTGTGAAGGGATAGGATCCTGGACTGAAAGAGCAAGACCTCAGATGAGAACTAGAGTCCAGGCCAGTTGTTTCTTTGTGTTTTTTTTTTCTTTCTGAGATTAGAGAGAGGGAAAGATAAGGAATCCAGTAGGGAAATAGGTACAAAGGGAGAGTGCTGACCTAGTCACACTGTCCGCTTCATTCTTCAGGACTGTTCAGGGCCTGTCCTCTCTGGGGATTTGCAAAGCACCACATGGAAGCCAGGATAGGATTAGTTCCTAGTCCCACTTCCTGATCCAGTCCCCATATGACCCCACATTCCTGCACATACCCAGGGAAGCCTACTGTTAATCTAAGCACCAGGACAGTAAATGCCACTTCGTTTCTTCCAAATGTTATCTAGGAAGAAAGAGACGTTTTCTTTTTGTTTCTTTCTTTTTTTTTTGGTCGGTTGTGGGCCCTGAACTCTGGGCCTGGGCACTGTCCCTCAGCTCTGCAGCTCAGGCTACTGCTCTACCACTTGAGCCACAGCGCCACTTCCGGCTTTTTCTACTTATGTGACGCTGAGGAATCGAACCCAGGGCCTCATGCATGCAAGGCAAGCATTCTACCACTGAGCCACCTTCCCAGCCCAAGAGACGTTTTCTTAGCTGTAGCTCTATATACCACAACCAAATACCCTGGATTCAAGAAGTTCACCTTTATTCATTCTCCATATCATTTTTTAAGTCTATCTATATGCACATGTGATTCTTCCTGTTTACAAGTCTGGTCTTTTAGTCTCTGCAGATTTACCTGTAGACATAAAAACACCCTTCTTATCCTTCCAGGCTCCTTCTGGGAGCCGTCCCTAGCCTTCAAACACTGTCTATCTCTAATCTTTGGGAGTTGGCCTTGCTGTGCTTCTCAGTGGGTCAGAAAAGGTGTCTTATACCTCCTAGACCTTTTTACCTTTCCTCTGTGTTGCCCTGCCCATTCAAAAAGCAAACACAAACCAATTTCATTAAAGAAAATTAGTGGACCTTCTGTCCTACAAAGGGCATCTCAACTTTGGACACAAAAACTGCTAAGACCACATACCTGGTGTCTACAACAACCTCCTACCTCTTTGCCTCCCTCTCACCCTACATTCGAGTTCCAGTATACCATCTAAAAATGTGTATCTGACTCTTCATCTCAGGACTTAAAGCCTTCTTAATCCCTCACTGAAAACTCAGTGGAACTATTTTGATGGAGCACAAGCCCTTCAAGGTTTGATTCTATGATTTCTCCAAAGTCACCCTTTACATTTTACTCTCTGCAGTCCTTCTCCACTTCACATCTTTACATATGGATCCTGATACTGTCTTACCTTCTTTCCCTTTTTCTCCCTGCTTTTCCCCAAGTGGACTCTGGCTCATTCTTCCTTTCTGGGCTTTCCCTACAAGTCCTCGTCAGGGCCCCATGGAGGGAGATGCTCTTCACAAATGCTTCCATTCACCTGCCATTTACCCTCTACTGGCAGAAATCACCCAATCCAGTAACTGCCTGTTCATTGGGTTGGTATGTGTATGAGGAAATGGATCATTCTATTTTACTTGCCTCTATACCTGGCATCTGCCTGTCAGAGTAGGTGGTTCATGAATGTTCATCAATAAATGGCTGGCTGAATGGATGAATAAATAAAGGTCTTTCTCTTCTAGAATCCAATATATGTATCCCCTAGATAAAGCAACTAGGCTTGAGAGAAGAGGAGCTATTCCTCTGTTCTTATCAACCTTGGTAGTTTGAAAAGGAATCAAGTTGATGACTTTCCCCCAGACCAGATTAGGAGCAATAAGTGAACCATGTTGGTGGTGATAATGCCACAATCACTGCCCATGAACAATACCCTAACGGTGTAAGGAGCTGCCTTGCACAGAAACAAGGCAGAGATGAGCAAAGTAAGCCAGGGTCCCAGCCCACATAGGGGCACAGGGGAAGGCAATGTTTTTCTATCAGGGTCACTTGGATGGCATATATACTAACAGGGTCAGCTTGATAAACCTGCTCATTCTGTCACCAGGAGGCTGGGAAGGATAGTGCAGAGAGGAGACCAGAACACTGAGGAAGATGCAGCTGGTTCCTCCAAATCCCTTTGTTAACCCAGTGTTTCTTGAGTGTCTGTGCTGTGCTAGACCCTGTGAATAAACACCAGCCACCTTTTCTCTCTTCATATTAGACCTATGCCCTACACTACTCAATCACATAAATAAATAGAATGTGCATCTTGAAATTACTTCAAAGAGACAGCTTCAGATACTAGGTGTATAAAAGAAGGGGGTGTAGCCCAGTCAGAGAAAGTATGGAAGCTAAGAACTAGAGAGGGAAGCACATGAAGGATGTAGAGCAATCTGCATGGGTGGCCTTCTCATGGACATGACGTTACAGACATAACCTCCGCAACTAAGCCCAGTTCTGGAAGTCCTGACTTCTGGTCTCCACTGGATTGCTATATGTTCTTAAATGAAAGGGAGACTTGAGAGTGGACTTGTAAGAAAGAGTTGGGGTAGATTGCAATGAGAGGAAGGAGAGTTACCTCAAGTTCTGACCATCCACCATTGTCTTCTAGAGAACTGCAAGGCCTGAATTCAAGGACAGCTTTCTCTCAAAGTTGGATGTAGTTATCCAGGTATGCAAAAAAGGGGGGGGGGGGGAGAGAAGGAGAGGAAGGAAGAAAGGAAGAAAGCAAGAAAGCAAGAGAGGAAGGAAGGAAGGAAGGAAGGAAGGAAGGAAGGAAGGAAGGAAGGAAGGAAGGAAGGAAGGAAGGAAAGAGAGGGAGGGAGGGAGGGAAAAGGAGGAGGAGGAAGAGGAAAGAAAAGAAAGAAAGAAAGAGAAAGAGAGGAAAAAAAGAAAGAGACAAAGAAGGGGAGGGCTGGCAAGATGCCTTGCCCCATGCACAATGAACTGATGCCCCTATTTCAGGAAGAGCATGGCGCAGCAGCTATATTTGAAAACCGAGGTAAACAAGATCTCGGCTCAAGTGGATGGAGCACAACAGCTGTGGAAGCTTAATCACACGCGGCTGCTAGTCACCAGGTCACCAGACGCACCCCCCCACACACACACACCAGGCTTCCCTTTCGGTGCCCCACCACCAGAAGGCCGGTGGTGTTGCTATCTACCCATACCCCCTTCCCTGGGGAGAGTTCTTGACCACCCAGGAGCGCAGCACCTGGCGCTCAGCTGCAGCCTGCGTGCCTGATAAATTGTCCCCAGTTTCCATCTTTCTACATGGGAAGCCTGTGCAGGAAAGGTTCAGAGGTTTGTGTTTTGGGGGTTGTTTTTTGTTTTAATCGTCAGAGAGAAAGGGAGCTGTGAGAGAGGAGAGAAGGGGGAGGTGGAGGGAGAGAGACGTGGAGGGGGGGGGTAGCAGGCGGGTAAATTTATGGCACTGCATTAAAGGCGTTTTGCCACTGAATGCCCCCCCTCCCCGTTTAAAAATAAAACCCAATGAATAAAGACCAAAAACTGCTTTCTTTCCCGGAGCAAATCGCTTTCATCATCTCCTCCCGCGGCTCAGGTCCTCGGGGCAGGTCAGCCAGGGCCTGCGGGAGCAGCTCTGGACTCTAAATGAGGGCCCGAGGCTGCGCGCGCGCGTTGCGAGTGCGCGAGTGTGTGTGTGTGTGCGCGCGCGCGCGTTTGGATTGGCGAGGGGCTCAATTCCACACTTGGCTTTTCTCCACCCAGCCCGGGATCGCCCAGCCCCGCGTCTGGGGAGCGCAGGACGGGAGAAACCCTCCTTCCCTTCCGCCCCGCGGCGGCGGCTGGAGCGGGCGCTGGGGCTGCAGCTGCAGCTTCCCGGTCCCCGCGCCGGTGGGATCTCGAGGTGGAGGCGCGCGTGCGCGTTCGTGCGTGTGCGTGTGTGTGTGCACGCGAGCGCGCGCCCCGTGGATACCGCGCTCCCTTCCTAGCCCCCAGCCCCATGGTGGTACCCATTTACAGAAACACAGCACACCCTGGCACAGGCAGCTCACACACACACAAGCACACATATATGCACACGCGCACACACACGCAAGGCAGTCACCCCCAAAGAGCAGAGCGACCGCCACTGACAGCGAGCCGGGGCAGGACTGGGCTCACCCCCCCCCCCCCCGAAACGCTCACCCAGCCGGACCTACCACCCCCTCCCAACACCGCAGACACGACGTACACTTTCCCGGGGCTCCCTCCCCCACTTCTCCTGCCTCTAAACCCTCAAGAACACGGTGCAGGGGAACGATCTAGAGAAGCAACTTATTGCCACAATTGTTCACCGCCAGGGACCCTCTGGGAGGAGGGGGGAGCGTCCCAAGCCCCCCCCCACCTTCATTTCCCCAGCCCCAGCCGCCCGCCGAGGGGGGAAGGGCACGAGGCTCCCCCTCTACTCACCGATTCCTCTCGGCCTCCCCGCGCGCCCCAGTGGGCAAGAGACGGGGGGTGAGGACGGTGCGCGAAGCCCCGGCCCCTGGAGCCTCAGCGGCCGCCGCGGCTCATCGCCCCCGCGGGCTGCCGGCCGGCCGAAGCCGCGTCCGTGGCATGTCAGTGCGCCGCCGCCGCCGCTGCCTCCCGCCGGCCGGCCGCGGCTCGTGGGCTCCCCGAGGTCAGGGGGCTGCGGGGCGGCGCATCTGGAGCGCGATCGGGGCAGGAAGAGGGCTGTGGGGAGGCGGGGGAGCAGGAGAAGGGGGCCGGGGAGAATCCAGGAGAGGGCCCGCCGCGCCGGTGCAGGAACGGGGAAACCCCGAGCCGGAGCGCGGGCTCCAGGTAGCCCCGGGGAGAGGCCCGGAGTCCCGGGCGCCGCCGGCTGGGGGGGTGGGGTGGGGGGTGGGGGATCCCTGCCGGGAGGGGCTGGAAGGCGAAGCGCCCGGCGCGCCCCGGCGGCTCCCAGGGACCCCGGCGGGGGCTCGCAGTCGCGTCGCCCGGGCTTTCCCGGGGCCTCGCACGCCGTCACCGCGGGAGACGTCTCGGCCTCGCCGCGCGCGCAGAGGGGACGCGCGGAGGGGCTGGTTTCTGGGCGAGCTGAGAGCTTTGCCCGTTAAGCTGCCGCAAGAAGCCAAATCAAAAAGCCAATCTCCAAGCCTCCAACCCCAACGTCACCCTATCAGCGGGGAGAGGCAGCCGCACCGAATGACAAGCCGCGCGCATTTAGCCCGGCGCGCCTAGGGGACACTTCGCAGCCCAGCTTTCCGGCCAGTGGCGGGGACGTCGAGCCTGCAACCTCGCGTCCGGAGAACCCTGGAAGACCCGATTCGGCCCAGACCCCCCCCCACACACACACACCGCCCCCCTACCCAGCCGATGGCGCCTCCGGACAGGCAGCGATTCGGGGACGGCGGCGCGTTCTGACCTGGATTCCCCGGAGTTGGGAGCTCCAGGCAGCGGGCGGGCGGGCGGGCGGGCGCGCGGCACCGGCTTTCCCCTTGTCCTCGGGAGACGCCGCCTGCAATTCCGAAATGAAGTCTCCACCAAACACATCTGTGGTTTTTTAAATATAGCAGGGAAACGACTCTCCAGGCAGGGTCCACCCAGACCTGGGGGAGGAGTTGAGGGGGAGATGGAGGTGGATCGTGGAGGGAAAATAAAACTCTTTTTTTTCCCCCTCTCTAATTTTTACCCCTCCTTCTCTTCTTGATGCAGAACTTAGCCTGTCATTTTCTCAACCAAGTCAAACAACAGCTTGTGAGAGAGACGCTTGGGTGAGCGTTGGTATGTTGGCTTTGGGGTTTTTTTTTTTTTTTAAAGGCTAAAAATAAAAAGGGGCTGTCTCCCAAATTGTTGCTTGTTCTGGGCCTGGAAGCTTGGAGGAGAGATGGTCCTTTGATGCTGAGCAGAACTAGGGTTTGGGGCTTGGCCCAAGCAAACTGTGCACATACACAGTCTTAAATCAAAGGTCTGTAATTTCTGCTATATTTGTCAGGCGTGGTCCTGAAAGCTGGTGTTGGGGGGTGGGCAGGTCTCGCCTGAGGAGGAGGCTTGGTGTCCTGAGTTTCTAGGTGGCCTGGGGCAGCTGTACAATGAGTGTAGTGAAGGGCCAAAGTCTCTCTTGCAAGCTTCTGCTCTCTGAAGCTAAGTACAAAGGGCCAGCGCAGTAGCAGAGCGCTCAGTAACCATCAGCATCTCCTTAGTCAAGAGCAAGGACTGGTGCAGACAAACTTGGGCTGTGTGATATAGATACAATCCTAAAACTGTGTGATATAGATACAATTACAATGTCTCTTTGTGATTGGCTGAGGAAATTGAGCCTTAGAGAGGTTAAATAATCATGTCCAGGCCACATGCAGTAGACCCAAGGATGGGACCAAGATGAAATCATTTTGAGTGGTGTTAACACGCAATACGTATGACACCACAGCAGTATATACAACTTCTCCGATGTTGGATTACCCCTGAGAGGCTGCTCTTGAACAGCGTTGGCCCAAAAGAGGCTGAGTGGATGCAGAGGTAGTGAGCATCTGAACTAGGGATGAAGTAAGCTCTTGTCTGGCCCCTAGTCAAAATGTTCCTTTAGCAATGCATGGGGTGATTTGGTGCTGAGTTTGGGTCTTGGATATGCTCAGTTAGGAGTCCATTCAACCTCCTGATACAGTATAGGTCTTGGATTCAATTGAATTAGACCTGAGACTGTGTCTTTGTAAGGCTTCAATAATTTCCGAGGCTGTAGGGTTTTAGCATCTGCCAGCATTGGGCTTTACCTTGCGTCCATCTTATGAAGGACCACAGTACTGCTGACTAGACTGTAGTCAAAAGAAGAAGAAATATTGGTGTTTACAAGTTGGTATGTATTTTAGAATCAGTTTTGAAAGCTATATCACATTCCTTTTTTTAAAAAAAAGTCCCTATGATTCTGTAATTTTACTGGAAGATATGTCTTCTGTGGCACTAATTAAATGTGTGAATAATTTTATACGTTATACAGCTATATGTGCAGACATTTTATTACAAGGATATTCATGGTAATATTTATACTGGTTAAAAAATGGAAACATTTGAATTTTTCATCAGAGACCATTGGTGGAATAAATTGTATTCTATTGATATGGTGGTATATTTATTCTGCTGTTGCTGTGTGTGTGTGTGTGTGTGTGTGTGTGTGTGTGTGTGTGTAGAGTTCTATGTATTGACATGAAGAGATTTTCATGGTATATTATCCAGAGAGAGAAAGATTATGATAAAAAACAAACTATACAACTTGTAGGTGGAGAAAGGAGGGGAAAACTGGGAAGGGAAGGGGTGACATTGTCCAAAAAGAAACGTACTCTTTACTTGACATGTAACTGTAACCCCTGTGTACATCACCTTTATAATAATAATTTAAGAATTTTTGTTGTTGTTGTTGGTCATGGGGCTTGAACTCTGGGCCTGGGTGCTGTCCCTGTGCTCTTCAGCTCAAGGCGAGCGCTCTACCACTTGAGCCACAGTGCCACTTCTGGTTTTCTAGTGGTTTACTGGAGATAAGAGTCTCACGGACTTTCCTGCCTGGACTGGGTTTGAACTTCGATCCTCAGATCTCAGCCTCCTGAGTAGCTAGGATTACAGGCGTGAGCCACCAGCGCCCGGCTTAAGAATGTTTTTAAAGAAAGAGAGAAGAGAAAGAGAAAGGAACAGACAGACATAGAAGATAGATAGGAATGGTGTGTGTGTGTGTGTGTGTGTGTGTGTGTGTGTGTGTGTGTGTGTGTGTGTGTGTGTGTGTATGTTGGTCATTAAGGAAATGCTCTCCAAAGAGACCACAGGACTCCGGTCTCTTTGACTCTCTCTTTCATTTCCTCACCATGAGCTGACTGGTTTTTCTCAACCACTTGTTCTTGCTATGATGGGCCTTGAGTCAGGCTCAAAGCAATCACAACCAACCAGTCATATGGACTGGAAACTCCCACACTGTGGAGCAGAATAAACTTTTTGTCTTGCTAAGTTGTCGATCTCAGATATTTGTCAAAGGAATGCAAAGATGACTGGGTTTTGATAAAAGTATGTACAAGTAGAACCAGCAAAGTGGAAATATAGAACATTTTCATCTCCCCTGAAGTTCCCTCTAGTTCCTTTGTACTCATCTCCTTTCCCCAGATCATCCATGAGTCTGCTTTCTCTCACTATAAATTAGGCTTGTTTGTTCCAGAGTTTTCTTTCCACTGCATAGATCCATAGATAGATAGATGATAGAGAAAGATAGATGTAAATACTGATAAGCACGATATCTCCTCAATGGACATTCCTCACACACTATGGCCACAACAGTATGAATCAGATTGATTTGGGCATATGTTTTTAGCATAACTACAAAAAAAAAAGCAAGCAAGAGCCCAAGCTCCCTCTCATCAGGACATTTCTGAGTAGAAAGGTGAGAAAGGAAGACCAAAACGTGTTCTAGGCAAAGCTGACTTGAGTGTGTGCTCTGCATTCTAGTTAGGCTGAGATAACAAAGCCCAGTTCCACACTCAGCCATGATGCCTTCATTTCAATTGTTTAACTGGAAATGATGATGATGATGATAATCCTTGCTTCTCTCCCACTCTGAAGTCCTACAGCAGCTTTCATGTGGCCAGTGATGTTACAGATTCCTTCACGCTCCGGGAAATCTCACTTTCTCCCCTTCTCTTAGTGACGTGGATGCAGGGTTGGAAAACAGTGTCTTTGATGGCCATCTTCCTTCCACTTCTGCCATTGTTTGTTCATTTATTTTTAGCTGTGCTAGATAGAACCCAGGGGGTTTTCACAGGAAAGCCTGCAAGCTGGCTGTTTATCATCAGCATTGAGAGCAAGAGCCACAAACCTCCTGTTCAAGTTAAGAAGAAACTGAGGCCCAGAGAACTCAGGAGATGCATCCTAGTCACAGAGCTTAGCAAAGAAAAGAAAGATTAGCATGCTATGGGGATGAACTGTGTTCCCCAAAATTTACATGCTGAAACCCTAACCCCCAGTACCTTAGAAAGTGACTCGATTTGGAAATAGGGTAATCAAGCTAAAATGGAGTGGTTAAGCTGACTTAGATCCATGTGATTGGTGCCTATAAAAGAGATTGGGACACAGATAGAAGAATTATTTTGTATGCAGGCCATCTACAAGCAAAGAGAAACCAGAGACCTTACTTCTTTACTCTCTTTTATTCATTCTTTCTTACTTTCTTTCTTTTTTCCTTCCTTCCCCCTCCCCGCCTCTCTCTCTTTTTCTTTTTGCCAGTCCTGGGGCTTGAACTCAGGGCATGGTCACTGTCCCTGAACTTCTTTTGCTCAAGGCTAGCGTTGTACTACTTGAGAGCCACAGCACCACTTCCAGCTTTTTCTGTGTATGTGGTACTGAGGAATCGAACCCAGGGCCTCATGCATGCCAGGCAAGCACTCTACCACTAGGCCACATTCCCAGCCCCTTACTTTCTTTTTAAAACATTTTGGGTTGTTTATTTGTTTTGCAACAGTGTCTCTATGTAATCTAGGCTGGCCTCAAACTCACAATCCTC